GAGGAGGAGGAGGAGGATTAAGAAGAAGAAGAAGGAGGAGGAGGAGGAGGAGGAGGAGGAGGAGGAAGAGGAGGAGGGAGAGGAGGAGGACGAGAAGGAGGAGGAGGAGGAGGAGGAGCAGGAGGAGGAGGAGGAGGAGGAGGAGGACGAAGGACAGAGACAGGAGGAGGGACCCAGCCAGCGGATAGTTGGCGTTTCAGCGCAATGCGGATGGATTTGCGGGAGGTTGTAGGATGTCAAGTGCGGCGCGAACGCACCTAGCCTGGCATATCCCCTCTCTCCGCTCTCCTCGCCCCGATCCATCCTCCTCACCCCATCCCCCACAAACGACTGCAATAGCGGCGGCACGAATCTGCGAAGCCCTGCTTGTTCGCCCCATGCAGCGCAAGGCTGCCGAGCTGCATGCTACGACCTTCAGGCTCGATGATTATGGCTCGCTCCCACACAACCTGCTGCAGGGATTGACGACCGATCGCAACGAGCCGTTGTGTTGTGCACCTGGCCTCTGAGATTCGCTTGCCTTTGTAATGATCCGCCCTCCGCCGTTGGCAGCGCGCACAACATCACTACGGTTTCTTCGGTGCACACTGCAATACTGACTGGGCGCCCCACCCCCCGCCGCCGTCATTTTGAATTGATTTTGGCCGGCGAGCCCGCCGCCATGTTGTTGTCGCCTAGTTGCGGTTGCGGTTGCGCCCGCGGGCGGGTTGAAATGTGTCGCTTGGGTGGGATTTGAAAAGTATGGCCATTCCGCGTCACGCGGCACGCCCTTTGATAGAATTGGAGATATTTCTCTGGAGAGTCTCGTTGCACGGCATGCTCTTCAAGGGAATAGTTGCATTCTCGCAGTATGCGAACAAATCTTAATTTATGTATTTTATTGTGACGTCCCGTCTGCTTTTTCGTAGTAGTACGTGTTCGTGCTATTACTATAATTAGTTGAGTTCCGATGTGTTTGTTATATTTAATCGCTTCGCTCATTCCGCCGGCCCATACAGTCTCATGTCTGCCGTTTGCCCGAGGGCCTGGTGTCAATGCGGCGTTTTGGGGGTTCCTGGGGCCGCTTGGGGGACTCCTGGGGCGCTCGGGGGGGCATTTGGGGGCGTGTGGGTCACTTTACAACCAGAAGTGCACTTTACAACCAGATGGGTCACTTTACAACCAGCTTACAAAATCCGAGAAGGGCACTTTACAACCAGGAAGGGCACTTTACAACCAGGCAAGTAAAAACACAGATTGAATGCACGCGGGCCTTTCCCTGAAATCTCCGTGGGCAAGCGCAATGGTGGCTTTGGGCTCTTTGAAGCATGTTGGTTGTAAAATTGCCCATCGCGCACGAAGAAGCACTGCGCGCGCGTTGGCGATGCGGCGACCTGGTGCGCTATGGTATGTTGCGTGCTGGTGGGCGGATTAGGGTTTTGACCTGCTCTGAGAGCTCTGTCGGTCAGTTCTGCCATTGCTTGCTCTGCATTTTTCTGACGGACGAAGGCTAGTCGCGCAGGACATACGAATAAACCATGATCCCGTCCAAGACTGGAGCTGCATGGCAGTGGGAAGCTGTAGTGGGAGATGTGGTGGTAGCGGGGGCTACAATGGGAACTGCATGGTGTTGGGAAGCTGCGGTGGCAACTGTGGTGGTTGCCAGGCAGCGGTGGGAACTGTGGTGGTAGCTGGGCTGCAATGGAATTTGCAGTGGTAGCGGGGGGTCAGGAGGAATTGTGGAGGTAGCGGGGCTGCAGCGGTAAGTGTGGTGGTAGCAGGCACAAAGGTGGCGGTGATGCGCTGTCGCGGTGGCTCAAGCTGCTGCGCTGGCACGGTGGCTGAGGCTGCTGCCCGAGCAGGATACCTGCGTTGCTGCGCTGGCACTGCGGCTGACGCTGGAAGGAACGATCTTCGAAATAGTTGCATTTATTCGGAACGTTGAACCTCGATCTTCCAAGACGAGGAGCAGCAGGGGGCCAACTGGAGCTGGAGCACTTAGCCCCTTGCAGAACACCGTGGGGCTTCAGGGGCCAACGTGGCCCAAGAGACCCGCGGTGCCAATGGCCTAGTTCCCTGGAGCGCTGGGCCCTTGTGGAGGCCACTGGGCTCGCTTCCTGTGAGTGATCCCTAAAATGGGCAGCGCGTCGCCCTGAGCCTTCCTACGTATGCTGTCGCCTTATTCCCGTGCGAGCACGGGGCCCTTGTTGAGGCCGCTTGGCCCCTGCTAGCAAGCCCTGTCTTAGTCTGCTGGGCTCAGAGCGCCAGAGCGTCCAGGCGCTCGGGCTCAGAGGCATCGCTGGGGCCTGCTCAGAGCGTCCAGGCGCTCGGGCTCAGAGGCGTCGCTGGGGCCTGCGCAGAGCGTCCAGGTCCTCGGGCTCAGAGGCATCGCTGGGGCCTGCGCAGAGCGTCCAGGTCCTCGGGCTCAGAGGCATCGCTGGGGCCTGCACAGGGCGTTTAGGCGCTCGGGCTCAGAGGCATCGCTGGGGCCTGCGCAGAGAGTTCAGGCGCTCGGGCTCCAGAGCGCCCACGTGCTCTGGAGCACTCTTCAGAGCGTCCGCGCGCCCTGGAGCACTTTTGAGAGCGCCCACTTGCTCTGGAGCATTTTTCAGAGCGCCCACTTGCTCTGGGGCATTTTTCAGAGCGCCCACTTGCTCTGGAGCACTTTGCGGAACGCCCAAACACGCACGGCCACTCTGGGCTGGTTGTAAAGTGGTCCGTTCTGGTTGTAAAGCGGCCCGTTTTGGTTGCAAAGTGGTCCGCTCTGGTTGTAAAGTGGGCCGTTTTGGTTGCAAAGTGGACGTTCTCCATGAAAAAACCATACTTTCCAATCCTGTGTTGGTTGTAAAGTAACCCATCTGGTTGTAAAGTGGTTGTTCTGGTTGTAAAGAGACCGAATCTCGCATTTGGGGGGGCCTCCTGGGGCCGCTTGGGGGACTCTTGGGGGCCTCCTGAGGGCCTCGCGGGGGCCTCTTGGGGCCTCCTAGGGGCCTCTTAGGGGCCTCTTGGGGCCTCGTGGGGGCTTCTTAGGGCCGAGGGCTCGAAATGTTGTTTCGTGTTCCCTCTCTGGGGCCCCCTTGGGGGCGTTCTTGGGGCCCTCTTGGGCCGTCTTGGAGGCCTCTTGGGCCATCTTGGGGCCCTCTTGGGGGCCTCTTGGGCCCTCTTGGAGCGATCTTGGGGGCCGCTTGGGGGGCGTCGGGAAGCCGAAAAGGTGGAAGCTCCAAAATCTTTCAAAAAAACCTAAGGAAAAGCTATGAATGCTGCTTCTTGGGACCCTTTTGGGAGTGCTCTTGGAGGCCTCTTGGGGCGTCTGGGGGCCATCTTGGGCGTCTTGGAGCGATCATGTGGCATCTCGGAACCCTTGTGTACCATCTTGGGAGCCTCTTGGGGGCATCTGGACCCGTCTTGAGGGTTTCGGGGACGTCTCGGAGCTCTGTTGGTGCGCTCCTGGAGCGCTCTGGGGGAGTCTCCCGGGGATCGCTCGGGGGTCGGTGGGGGATCGCCCGGGGTACTTTTCGTCCGGGGACCCCCAGGGGCCGCCCCGCGCGCGCGAACTAGAGATACTGTTAACCAGTTACCGGAGACCTTAGCACGCCTCTGGCCCGTTGGGCCGGCGAATTCGTTGTAGCTTGATTCAGCTGATTGCAACATGTAGCCCGCAATTCTCATTCTTTTTTGGCTACAAGACGATTCGCCGCCAACTTTTCATGGGGAGTGTCAACTGATTTGCATTCGTGTTGTGCCTCGCCGCTAGTCTTGTTGTCGACACGTCAGTTACTGCTTCCGTTTCTTTTCTCCGCCATCCGCTTATTTTCTTGATTTAGAGCATGTTGTACTGCTTCTGGTGTGATCGCAGAACGGTGTGGCACGAAGGTGGGGTCTCCGAAGAAGGCCAGAGGGGGCTCTGACAAGGCGTGGTCCCCCCTGGAAGCGCCCGGATGCTTCTCGGAAGGCTCACTAGAGACCAGGCGGGCTTCTAAGGAGCCGCCTGCCGTCTGAGACGCCCCCCCGTCTTCTCAGGCCGTCCCCGTCGCGCCACCACCCCGTGCGCGCCGCCAGCTCCATCCAGCCCCTCGCCCCTCCCCAAAGACTTATCCTTTTGCCCATCGCCACGGCAGCGCGCGAAGGGACGCTGGGCCCAGATCCTCAACATGAGCACGAAGCGCGAGCGGCATGGCCACGGCACCATGCTGATCGCGGGCCTCGAGGCCGCGGCGCCTGCAGAGCATTTGCGCTCCCACGCCAGACATCCGACGATTCGCTGCTTGTCGAGTCCTCAGACCCAGAAGCTCTCGTCCCATTCCCCAGGACCAGCCTACAGCAAGGACACCAAGTATGAAATTGGCCTGCCAGCGGGTGCCCCACGAGGATTCCTTCTCCCCCGATGGCCCTAGGGACCCGCGGAAGCTCCAGGGCACCGTAGGACCGTAAAAGGTTTGTCGACGAATGTGCCCAAGATGTGTTATAGCAAGAAGTCATGTCGTGTGTGTCTGCTCCTCCTCCTCCTCCTCCTCCTCCTCCTCCTCTCCTCCTCCTCCCCTCCTCCTCCCTCCTCCTCCTCCTCCTCCTCCTCCTCCTCCTCCTCCTCCTCCTCCTCCTCCTCCTCCTCCTCCTCCTCCTCTTATCATTTGTTGACGGCCCTGGGAGAACGATGCCGAACAGTTGCGCACAGATACGGCGCGATGTGCCCTAGTTGCCAGTGGTAGGGGGATCACGCACATACGCACGCACGTAGGGGGCCTTGGCTTCCCCGAGTGCTGCCCCCCCTGGCCAGCACCTGCTCGCATGAATCTTGGTGCGCTTGCAATCTCTGACATCCAGCGCAGCTCCCCATGCCATCCGTTCCATCCCCGGCCAAATTATTAATCGCTTCGCTCACTGCGCCGGCCCACTTCGCATCACGGTGGCTGTATGGTGGTGGCTCGAGAGATCTCCAGCAGAGTTTCGAAACGTTCCTGGGTAGTGGGTCAGAGTCCTCAAGGATACTTATTGGGGTCTCTTGGGAGGGCTCTCGGGAGCCTCTGGGGAGCCTCTTTGGGGCTTCTTGGGGGCCTCTTGGGGCTTCCTGGGGGCCTGTTGGGGCTTCCGAGGGGCCTGTTGGGTGTCTTGAGAGTACCTTACGCCAAACTCGTCCGACAAGCTAAGCAGAATGAATGTTTTTTGCATCTTCGGGGCCTCTCGAAGTCCTCTTGGAACCCTCCTGGAGCGTCTTGGGCGCGTCTTGGGCCGTCTTGGGACCAACGTGGGCCATCTTAGAATGCTCTTGGCCTGAGGCCGTAGGGCGCACCACCGTTTTGGTGCTTCATTGGGGCGCTCGGGAAGGCCTCGAGGCCGCGCCCACGAGTTCCGGCATCTCTGACCCGACCCTGCCAAGATTTTGCCAAGACGTTGCCGTGACTTTGCCTGGACTTTGTTGGAGTGCCTTTCGTCCATGGACCCCAGGGGCCGCCATGCGCGCGCAAATTAGAAACATTATTCAATTCTCACCAGAGGTTTTAGCACGTCTCTGGCCCGTTGGGCTTGCGAATTCTCCCACTCTTCATCGGCCTTCCCCCATCCGCTCTTTCCCGTTGAAGCTGTAATCGGATTTTGATATTAGTCTTCGTCGCCTCAAAACTTCGCCATTCCAACTTCATGCCATGTCATTCCCCCCTTCCTTCCCTTCCATCGTCCCCTCCTCGTGGGCGGGTAACGTATCCACATCCCATCTCCATAGCCACGGTCTCGCGGGCCTGGCCCCTAGGCCGCGACCCCATGGATACGGGGCGCTTCCGTTCGCGGATGCCCTGCGCGGAGCGTGTCCCCGAGCCTTGCGGATCCGCGGGGCCGTGCCCTGGAGCCCAGACCGCCGGCTGCGTAGCCATGGATATGTCCGCCGCCCTCCCCGGAGGCGGGAGCGCCCGGGGGCGGGGCGGCAGGCTTGGCCGAAGGCGTGTTCGAAGCCGCGCGGGGCACCCAGCGACTGCCCCCGCCCCGCATGGCCTCGACCGCAGACGCTCCCTCGGCGGTGCCCTCTCTGGAGCTCACGGGCCGAGTGACCAATGCAGGAGGAGGGAGGAGGGATGGAGAGAGGTGGAAGAAAAGGGAGTGAGGGAGGCAGGCAGGGAGGGAGGGATGAGGAGGAGGAGGAGAAGGAGGAGGAGGAGGAGGAGCAAGGAGGAGGAGGAGGAGGAGGAGGAGGAGGAAATGGAGGAGGAGACCGGGAGGAGGCACGAGGAAAGGCTGCCGCGCAGGCCGGGTGAGCGCGCGAGCGGGGCAGGATAGCAAACAGAAGGGGTAAAGGCGAGAGGGGAGCACGTCCAGCATCGCAGGCATACGCCCCCATGGTTCCATGGTTCGCCCGATCTCCAGGGGATTGCGGAGCGGACCCCGCCGCCGGAAGCCCCCGGAGGCTTCCAGGGGCCTTTGGAGGCACAGGGGGCCGAAAGCATCCCGTGGCAGCGGCCCTCTCCCCCGTTTCCTTCGTTCCCCGCCCTGGAGCCATCTGGGGGTCTCTCGGGGGGGTACCTCGCGGCCTCTGCTGCCCATCTTGGGCGCCTCCCTGGAGGAGGCGTCCTGGGGCCTCTGCTGGGCCATCTGGGGCAGTCGCGGTGGCCATTCTGCTGGCCTCCCCCCTATCCGCCTCCTTCCCCGCCGAGGAGCTGCTCCGCCGCGAGGACGTCGACGTCGTGGTGCTGTACCCGGCCGAGAATGGCCGCGCGCCCGCTTTCTGGTCCTCCATCGGCTTCGGGAGCCGCGCCGCCCCCGCCGCTGCCGCCGCTGCCGTCGGCGGCGGCAGGACGACACGGACGAAAGACGACAGACGAATGACGATGACGTCGACGTCGACGACGACGACGACGACGACGACGACGACGACGACGACGACGACGACGACGACGACGACGACGACGACGACGAGCGGCGAGCGGCGGCGGCGGCGGCTCGGTGCCGCCCGTTGCCGCCCCGCTTCCTGGCATGGTTTTGCATGCTGTCGCGTTGTGTTGCGCTGCTTCGCGCTGCTTTGCATTGGTGATGGCGTCATCCTCCTCCTCCTCTTCCTCCTCCTCCTCCTCCTCCTCCTCCTCCTCCTCCTCCTCCTCCTCCTCCCCCTCCTCCTCCCCTCCTCCTCCTCCTCCTCCTCCTCCTCCTCCTCCTCCTCCTCCTCCTCCTCCTCCCTGCTCCTCATCCTCCTCCTCTTCCTCCTCCTCCTCCTCCTCCTCCTCCTCCCCCTCTTGCTCTGCATTTGTTTGTCTTGCCTTGGGTTGCGCACCGAAGGTTGCACTGAATCACCGCTTGGGGCCGACGCTGGGATCATTGCTCTTTTGGGGGGCCTCCCGGCGGCGCCCTCGTCGCTTCGACGGGACGTGTCTCGGAGTACTCCAGGCTTGGTCTGGGGAGTCAGTCGACGTTGAGAGGGACGGGGATGGAGGAAGCCGTTGAAGCCAATCGTCAGAATCGGCCAGAAAAGTTGTCACGGGCATGAAGGGGTTCCCAGACCTCCGACGGATTACTTTTCGGTCCGCCGCCCCCCCTGGACGCCGAAGATGGTGAAACGCCGCACTCCTGTGCTGCGGTGTTTGGAGGAGGAGGAGGAGGAGGAGGAGGAGGCGGAGGAGGAGAAGGAGGAGGAGGAGGAGGAGGCGGAGGAGGGGGAGGAGGAGCGAGGAGGAGCGAGGAGGGGGAGAAGCCCCTTCTCCTCTAGGATGTGAAGTGCCGCCGTCTTGTGCTGCGGTGCTCTGAGCCTCGGGGCCCCTTCGAGGATCGGGGACCCCACAGCCGTGTGGTGACGGAGCGCGTGGTGGCCTCGGGGTCATCGGCGTCCTCGCCGCGCGGTCCGTCGCCGCATGGCCTTGGTCAAGGGAGGAAAACCCACCCGGACCCGCCAACCTGGCGTTTACTGAACGGCCCTGGGCGTTACCAAACAGCCCTGCCCTGTTCGGTTCCTTCTGCGGGTGCGTTTGCTAAATGACTTCGCGGGTCGGGTTGATCACTATGGGGGTGGATTTTCTGCCCTCTACTTGGGACCCCGGAGGCCCCGGTCGCCCGAGATGTCCTCGGAGAACGGCCCGAGCCCCGAAACCATGCGGCCCAAAAACCATTTCGGCCGTTCTCGGCCTCCGGAGGCCCTGGCCGGGCCCTGGGACCGTCAACAAAAATGAAGGTTCGGGATGGAAAACCGGTCCCGGGGAAAGGGTCGGGGCTTCCAGGGACCGCGCATGGAAAAAAACCATAGGCCGTGCCCGGCGGCACCGAATCCCCACCGAGTCACCATGCGGTGTGGTCACCAAGCCGTTGGGGGGTCCCCGGGAGGATCCGCCTGAGTGCTATCTGGGCGCGCGGGCCCGCGCGCGCGCGGCCGACTTGTTCCAGAGTTGCGCCAGTCCAGTTCTCCGCTGGCCGATGAAGCGCCGGGGGCGTCCGCCCCCTCGCTATTGGGAGTCCGCGGGGCCTCCTCCTCCTCCTCCTCCTCCTCCTCCTCCTCCTCCTCCTCCTCCTCCTCCTCATGATCATCCTCATCCTCGTCCTCCTTGTCCTCCTCCTCGTCCTTCTCCATGTCGTTGTTGTCCTCCTCTTTCCCCATCTCACCACCCTCCTCCACCTCACCCCCCTCCTCCTCCTCCTCCGGAGACCGCTGGTCCGCGGCAAGCCTTCCAAAAGCTTTGCAACCAAGGTCGAGCTGCGCGCTGCCTGCGTGGCCAAAGGCCTCCACATCCCTGCGTCGGTCGAGCTGTGCGCTGCCGATCGCACCAGGAAGCGCCTTCCTTGGACGAGATGCCTGCTTACGGTGGTGGGAGTACTGGCTCTGCGAATGGTTCTGGACAAGGCGACAATGGACAAACGGAGAGAAGACGAGGGTCGGAGCGTCGCTCACCCAAGCGCAGTGGAACAACTTTTCCTTGAGTTCAAGACCCTTGCCATGATGAAGCCCGCCCTTCGCGAGACGAATCTGACTTCGCCACCCCCGAATCCGCTGAAGGACCAGAAGGTACACAACAGCAACCCGCCGACTTCCATGGAGCAGATCAGAGCCGAAATGGGATGGATGGTGGCCTCACTGTTGGAGGCAAACTGGGCAAGGCAGAAAAGAGATTTAATCAATGCCATCACCAAAGTCAGCACAGACACACTTGGCATGCACGCTCAGAAACAAGAGAATACAGTAAGTGCCAGAGGATCGAGGGCGACGTGGCCGAGATGCGCTCCAACCTCCGAAAGAAGGAAAAGAGCCGATTTGTGGACCACCGTCAAGAGCCTCCAGAAGGAGCTTGCCTCCGCTGAGCGGTCAACGCGGAGAACGCAGCCAAATACCACAGAGAGCCCGATTCCAGCCTCTGCATCGACGCGCCCAACCCGACGGATCGCGGAGCCCTGGAAAACGTTTTGGTCACCGAAAACGGCTGCAACGACTCGGATTCGAACTTTCTGGGCGACGGCCCACACAGAAGATACCACATACAATGCCTCGGACACGAGGCCGCAGCAGCACCAAAGGCACGAAAGGCTTAACCTGACGGTCAGCGGCGGCGTTTTCCAGTGGCAGCAGCAGCGACCGGCGGCACCAACCAGCCCATCAACATCGCGCTGGACCGCAGCCCCCGCCAGCATTGGAAAGAGATCATCACAAAAAAACTGTTCACGCATGACAGATGGCGCACGGACAGATACAGGGGCCAGGTCTCCGCAACATCTCCCTTGCTCGAATGGAAGTCGGACGACAACCTGCTGATACACCATCGTTTTATTGGACCCGCGTGGCAGTGGCAGAGCCCGCAGCGGACGCCAACATGCGATTTGACAAGCAGCACGTGCACACAGTCTTCCGTAACATGGCCAAGCCAGGAGACCAAGATGCCGAGAGGCATGTTTAACACAAAATTTGTGCCCTGGCGGCTCGCGTGACTACCGGGGCCTGGGGAGCACCGACATGTTGCTGTAGTGAATGGCGAAGAGACGCTTCACATGCCAGCGCATTACGTTTCATGGATATGCCGAGCCATCTTACACCACGATTCTCCCAGACGCGACAAGAAGATGAAATGCCTTACGAAGATGGTGCGACTGAAGCGGACACCATGGGCATTCTAAGAAGTGCATGGCTCGCAAGAACTACGACAGGTTCTACATAGAGCGTGCATCTCGCCCAAGTACGGCATGTTCTATTCGATCCCATCAAAAAGCGATGGCGGAATGGCATTCATACCACAGATGGGCAACGCACACCATGGCAGACATGGACGAGGCTGTACATGACAGGGTCATCAGGGTCGCCCTCACGCTGCCTACAGAGGACAAGGCCGGCGTCGACGGCACCAGCCTCCTGGCGCACTGCGTCCACAACTTCGAGCTCACGAGCCAGAACATGGACGTGATCGACAGCCGCATGAGCAACGACTGCCCGAGGTGCCAGCACGCGCCCGAGCGCGCGACGACGGCGGCCCCGGGCGACTTCATCTCCCCGCAGGTGGACCGCGACGTTTCGTTTGCAGACTCCTGCAACTTTGCCCGCGCTGACAGCGCAGCACGACGATGGGGGGGCGATCCTCGCCCCGTTCCCGGAGATCCACGGCGGCGAGCCCGTGCGCCACGCGGCATCTGGGCCTTTCGGGCCGAGCACGCCGCGCATTGATCGCTTCTTCGCGTGGGCGCCGCCCTGGCTGGCGCAGCAATATCGACGCGGCCCGCGCGGCATGGCTGGTCCGAGTGGGCTGTTCGAGAGGGGCATCTCTGACCGCGCCCCAGCTTGCGTCGGCGCCGCGGCAAGGGGCATGATTCCACAGGGCGAGCAGCGAATGCCCGCGTTCATCTTCCGCCACCAGCACCTCCAGCGGCGCGCCGTCGGCGCTCCGAACTGGGGCGCGCCTCCTGCGCGCACCCGCCCGGGCAAGTGCGCGAGGCTGGCGCGGGGGCGGCGCGAGCCGTCCGCAGCGCGTCGCTGCGACAATTGGCACCGAACACTAGCAGCTGCCTCAGCACACGCCGCCCACTTGCAAGGGCCATCTGGCCCAACGACGCCCAGCAGGCCACCGCGCTACTTCGCGAGCAGGAGATCGCTCGACAACATTTCAAGTTCGTAGAGGTCCAGCGGAGCTCCGGGACGCGGTCGCCTTCAAGCGCGCCTTCGCCACTACGCATCACGAGTGTGAGCGAGCACGACTGGGCGCCATCCAGAGAAGCACCGACGTCGCAGACGAGATCCGCTATGTGGCCCTACATGAAACACGGAGAGCGGAGACACAGAGCGCCAAGTTGCGGGCGCCCACGAAGCGACAGACGGTTCCCGGGGCCATCGCGCACGACGGTAAGGGCACCTGCGATCAGGGCGACGCCCCGACAAGAAGATCAAATGATACCGGGAAAACCCCAATCATCATATTTTCAAGCTTTAGGGCTATGGGGCTCGAAGGCTATGGGGCTTTAGGGCTACAGGGCTACAGGTGCATAGGGCTATAGAGCAATTGGGCTATAGGGTTATGGGGCTGCACGGCTATAGGGCAATAGGGCTATAGGGCTATGAGGCTACATGGCGATTGGGGCTATTGGGGCTATAGGGCTACAGGGCTATAGGGCTATAGAGCTATATAGAGCTACCGGGCACTTGGGCACCCAGGCACCCGGGCGCACGGGCACCCGGGCACCCAGGCACTTGGGCACCTGGGCACCCAGGCACCCGGGCACCCGGGCATCCGGACACCCCCGAGCCCCCGGGCAACGGGCGTTCGGCGAAAATCGGCGGCAAACCTAACCTAACCATATGAATCCGCCAGGACCCCATACAGAGGCAAGCTTTGATTGGGGAATAATACCGGCGCGACAGCTGCGGCGGAGGCCGCGAGGGTGGAGCTCCACGACCGCTTCCCCGCGATGGGCGCGAGGGACATCGGCGCGGGCCACTGCGCTGCGCCCGCAGGAAGAACGCCCGGGGGCAGCGCCAGAAGGGGCAGGCGCGCGGCGCCGGGACGAGATGGATTAAAACATTGCGCGTGGCGGCGCGCGCAGGGCATTGGCGCCCTCGCGGACCCGCAGAACGAGCTGCTCTGCGCGTTCCCACCGCCTGCGGATTTCAACGCATCGATCCCGGCGCCGATCCCCCAGGGCTACGACCCCTCAGATGGCGTTCTCACCGAGCGGATGGTCAAACAACAAAGACCTCTCCAGCTGAAGAACACCGACGCAAAGGCACTCGCGGCGAGCTGCAACAGACCTCTGCGCGTTAACGCGGTGGCTGCCGCACAGCAAGCACAACGCGGATTCCTCGAAGGTCGGCAGCTCGCGTCGAACACCGCCCAGATCGACGCGATGGCGCACGCCCTGGGCTGAGCTGCGCCATCGGACTTCAACGAGTAGCAGCGCGCCACGCTCATCGCCTTTTGACCTCGCGGCGGCCGCCCCCTCGCTGAGCTAGAAATGGCGCTGGGCGGCCGCGCGCTCCGGCGGGCTTGAAGGCGGCCTGCTGGGCGCCGCGCAGGTCTGCCGCGACGACGCGGCCACTTGCGCCCACCTCAAGGGCGAGCTCCAACATGGTCGCAGCTGGACTTGCACAGGGCTGCCCGCTGAGCGGCACGATCTCGCACGTTGGCGTCCGAGGCACATTCTCATTCCTCCTCGCAGCACGCGCGGACGACATTTGCTCCGTGGCTCAGTCCTTGGATGTGCTCGACAAAATCAAGGCCAACCTAAGGGCGGCGGGGCTCCTCTGCGGACTCGTGCTCAACTTCGCGAAGTGCGCGCTGGTCCCGCCGCGCGACGTGTTCGACCGGCACGTGACCAAGGAGTTCCAGCAGGCCCCGCCGGGCAAGTTCGAACCTCGGGGCGACTTCGAGGCGCGGGCATCGGCGAAATCCCTCGGCACGATGGTCGGGCCTGCCGCCGACGGCGAGAGGGGCGCCCAGAGGGGAGCGGAGCTGGCAGCAGCGGGCATGCCTACATCGCCCACAGTGGTAATGCACCGCACATACGCGCTGCCAGTGACGGGCTACATCGCAAAATTCATACAACCCGAGCCCAGGGTTCTTCGCGACATCGAGCAGTGGGCGATCCACAACAACGTGCACTTGCCAGAGATCTGCGAGACCAAGGCAACATGTCTTTTTGCGGCTTTGCGGAATGGTCCCAGGTCAAAATCCCGTCATTCGAAGTGCTCGAACTGGCCGCGGCGATGAAGATGGCCGCTGACACGATCAAGGAATGGAGCGGTCGGCTGGAGCACATGAGGGCGATGGCGGTGGAGCATGTGGGCTCGCGGCTATCCCGTCCAGCGCGGGCGAGCGCTCGCCCGAGTTCTGGGAGATAGGCTCCATCGCTTACCGCCTCGAGGAATCAGCGACTGGCAACAGCTTAGGCACAGTACCGCAGGCGCTCGTGGACCTGCTGAACAACAAAACGCGAGGCCTCTGTTGCTGCTGCGCAGGGGGCGGAGCCTCCCGATTCCCAGACAGCGGTGCATGCATCTGTCGAACTCGCATGGCCAAGTGGGCTCCGAAGTTTAAGCTCGATATCATCGGCTTGGGTCGTGCTTGGGGCTGCCTGGATGACCGTCTTTCCAAATAGAGCTGCCAGTTCAGAGTGCGGTCATCAAAACACTGTTCGTAGGGCGGGGCACATCGCACCGCCTGCCGATCGAAACCCGCCCCTGTCTTTCCTGGTGCCCGTGCCAGACGGACCACCAGCCTCATTCACATGCACTCCAGTCCGCTGTGGAACAGCGTTTGGCCAATTGGCCCTGGCCTGTTGCTCGGCGCAAACTTCACCCAGCGCTTGGGTATTTTTCCAGACAAGCTCACAGATGAAGCAGTGCATCTCCCCGTGCTGCTTTGTCATGTGCATCATCATGGTATTCCTTCTTCTTTCCCTCCTCCTCTCCCTCCTTCCCGCCTCATCACCATCCATCTCGCCTCAGCCTCCGCCACCTTCTCCTCCTCCTCCTCCTCCTCCTCCTCCTCCTCATCATCATCATCATCATCATCATCATCATCATCATCATCATCATCATCATCCTCTTTTTCCTCCTGCTCCTGCTCCTCCGCCTCCTCCTCCTCCTCATCCTCATCCCACCGTCAGCATCATCATCAGAATCCTCATCACCATCATCATCATCCTCCTCCTCCTCATCATCATCATCATCATCATCATCATCAGCATTAGCATCAGCATCAGCATCAGCACCATCATCACCACCACCACCGCCCGCCTTCTCCTGTGGCTTCTCATCCTTCTGCCGCACGACGAGCCCGGGGGTCCTCCACGCCCGCGCGGCCCCCCCGCCGCGGCCAGGAATCGCGAGAACAGCTTCCTGCCAGAGGAGGAGACACCTGCGGCAGCAGGTTCGGATGGGGGCTGAGGTATCCCAGGAGGGGGGCGGCCGTGCGCCGGGGAGGCAGACGACGAGATCCGCGGCCCTTTCCCAGCCCCCACCGACGTCGCGGAAGACGAGCAGCAGCAGGATCAGCAGCAGCAACAACAAAGCGGCGACATCAGCAGAACTGGAGGAGCAATAGCACAGGGAGGAGAACGGGCAGCAGCAGGATTGGATGCCGCAGCAGCATCGAAAGCAGGAAGAGGAACAACAGCAGAGAAAAGGACAAAGGTCAGGAGCAGGAGAAGGCGAAGAGGAGGATGAAGATATGGGGAGGGATGAGGAGAAGGAAAAGGAGAAGCAGAAGAAGAAGGAGGAGAAGAAGAAGAAAGAGCCGGAGAAGATAGGAATGCAAGAATTCGGAGTGGAACATGTTGCTTCTGCGCTAGATCCTGATCCCCAGGGTTCCCGGAGGTACCCAGAGGCGTCCGGAGTCCCCGAAAAGGGGCTGCCCGAACAAAAATTAGCTTGGCGAAGGACCCAACCATATGCAGTTGTGGGCACCGCCTTTGTATGCACCGAATGCGGAGGAACTCCTTATAGGGCCACGAAATGTGTGAGGGGCGTGCCAAAATGGGTGCGGTGGGCGCATGCGAAAGCAGCCACTGGGGCCGTCGGTGGAGCTCCTTGTGGGGCCGCGAAACGTGTGAGGGGTTTGTCATGGGTGCGGCGGGAGCACGCGAACGCAGCCACTGGCACCTTCGGTGGAGCTCCCTTTGGGGCCACGAAGCCCTTCTGTTCCCCCATGGCGCGTTCGTCCCGGGGTTACCCGCGGCCCGGGTGGGGGAAGCTACAATTTGGTGTCTTGGGGGCTTCTTGGGCCGTCTGGGGGGCCTACTTGGAGCCTTCTTGGGGACCCTTGGGCCGTCTGGGGGCGATCTTGAAGGCTTTTGGGGCCGTCTTGGACGGTGTGAACGCCGACGAGGCGAATACACTAAAAGAATACGTTTCGAGAACGCGACTCATGTAGATAGCAAGTTCTGAGGGAAACCAAACATGACGCAAGACAACAAGTGTAAAGGAACTGTTCGGAAAGAGCGGAAGCGTAAAATGAGTGACAACGCTGCAGCGGAAACACGATTCGGAAGATCTGCAACAAAGAAATCAGATCAGCGCTGCAGCGGGACTCTGGTTTGGAAGGACCGAGAATCAGAAAATGGAACCAACGCTGTAGCGGGAGCGTCAGTCTGGAAACACCGAAGACGTTCGGAGTGGAACAACACATATAATCGACCACACTTGAGGGATCCGATGAGTAAAAACAATTCGCAGCGGGGGGCAGGTTGCGACCTCGGGATCTGCGGGGGAGAGAGGAGAGTAGTATTCAGATTGTGTAATTGTAGAAGGAGGAGGAGGAGGAGGAGGAGGAGGAGGAGAAGGAGGAGGAGGAGGAGGAGGAGGAGGAGGAGGAGGAGGAGAGGGAGTAGGAGGAGGGGGAGGAGGAGGAGGAGGAGGAGGAGGAGGAGGAGGAGGAGGAGGAGGAGGAGGAGGAGGAGGAGGAGGAGGAGGAGAGGAGGAGGAGCGCGCGCCGCGCGCGCACAGGAGCTGGTGCCCCACGACCAGGTCCGGCCGGGCACGAAGGACACGCCCGGGCCACTGCTGCCCGAGTTCGACCCCGGCTCGCACACGCCGCTGCCGCGCTGGCGCGCCGCCGAAAAAGGGAGGGCCGCGCTGGCGCGCCTCCTCCTCCTCCTCCTCCTCCTCCTCCTCCTCCTCCTCCTCCTCCTCCTCCTCCTCCTCCTCCTTCCTCCCCTCCGCTGGGACGGGTGTTGCTAAAGGTGCCTGTGGCCCAAGGTGCCTCCAGCTTTTCGCGCAGTTTTGGGGGGCCCATCCATGGAGCCCTCCGGGCCTCGTGAAAAGGTGCTCTGGGGAGGCCGCGGGGGCCTTCCTGGAGCTCCTGCGGGCACCTTGGGCCAGGGGCACTTCTGGCAGCATCCGAGGAGGGGTGGGGAGGGATGGGGGGCGTCGCCACCGCCGCCGCAGGAGGAGGCCCTCGGCGGGCTCGGGCGACAGTGCGACGGGCGGCGGCGGCGTCGTCACATTCCGAGCGCGAGGAGGAGGAGGAGGAGGAGGAAGAGGAGGAGGAGGAGGAGGAAGGGGAGGATGAGGAGGAGGAGGAGGAGGATGGATGGATGGATGGATGGATGGATGGATGGATGGATGGATGGATGGATGGATGGATGGATGGATGGACGGATGGATGGATGGATGGACGGATGGATGCATGGATGGATGGATGGATGGATGGAGCATCATCAAAGAGGCCCTGGCGACTGTCTGCACGCAGACGACAGTTAGGGCAACAGATGTCAGTTGGGTCCCGCGCCGCCGCGAGCACGCCACACAGACGCCGAAGCGACGAGGGAAGGACCCCGAAGCAACCCAGACAGGCATCGTCCGACCCTGGCCTACCCCACGGGCAAGCCAGGGGGACTGAAGCCACCCCCGCGGGGGACAGAAGCGAGCACCCCCCGCAGCCGCCAGCGGCCGCCCCCACGCCCCGACGGAGGAACGCGGCGGCCCCCCAAAGCCACGCCGAGGGGCTCCGCCCAAATTTTCGAGGCGGACCCGGCCGACAGCGCGAGGGCCCGCCCCTGCGCTCACATCCCGCACGTCGCCGCCCTGGCCTGCCTGGCCTTCGCGGCGAGGTGAGCCCGCCTGGCCGCCTTCGCCTGCTCCAGCTCCCTGGCCATGTTGGCGACCTGAGCCTCGTGCCGCTCGCGGTCGGCGATGGCCCACGCGCTCGTCGAACGGGTCGTCGGAGGCGGCATCGCGGGAGGCCGTCTTGGGGCCGGCCCCGCAGGGAGCACGCCAGCACCTCGACGCCCTTCGTGTCGCCCACGCCGTCGGCGATCAGCTCCGACTCCAGCGCGTGGCAGGATACGTCGGCCTCCAGCACCGCAGCCTTCACGATGGCCCGAAGAGCATCCTCGCCAGGACGCCCTTGAAGGTCATCATCGTCTGAATCAGCGCCCCCTGCACGCGCGCCGACTCCAGCGGGATGGGGCCGACGCCTCCACTGCAGCTCCAGGAGCAGGGTGGCCACCATCCCCCTCATCCTGCTCAGCACCGCAGTGGAGACCAGCAGGGACGGGGTCGGACTCCAGGTGGGTGCCGCTCCTGCCGACCATCTCGGCCTCCCAAGCCCACCAGCGCGCCCCGCTCGAAGCTGGTGGCGGCCACGGCTCCTGGGGGGGGGCATGCTTGCCCGCGCGGCGCCGCAGGCACCCTGGGCGCCCTGGGCGGCGGTGCGGGGGCGTTGCGGCGCGCTGCACCTGCAGAGGGCGGGGCGCTGCGCGCAGCGCGACCGTGCCTCGGCGCCACCTCCTCCCAGGCGGTAGGCGCCCGCGTCGAACGCCGAGCTAGCCGCTGGCAGCCGCCGATGCAGCGAAGGCCACCTCCTCGACGGTCTGGGCCTTCGCGGCGGCACCTCGGCCCGCCGCCCTGCTGGGGCCCTCGGCGCCAGCGCCGACTGCCCCCCGCAGGGCATGCTGCGCCTCCTCGCATCCTCCTCCTCCTCCTCCTCCTCCTCCTCCTCCTCCTCCTCCTCCTCCTCCTCCTCCTCCTCCTCCGGGAGCGCGCCGCGCCTCACGCTGAACCCGATTGAGCTCACGCTGGGGTAAAGCGCGCACGACCGCGGCGGGAAGGGCGGGGTGGTGGGAGACCACGTTGCGCCTCCCCACCTCGATGACGCTCGCCTCCTTGCCGTCGATGTCCGCCTTCAGCACGGGCGCGACGATCGCCGAGCGCTGCACGAGCTCAGCCGCCGCGGCCGTCGGATCGAGGTGTCGGCTGCCCTGCTTTCGCCCGCAGCCATCCCCTGGGCAGCCATCGCAGCCTCGGCAGAGACCCAACGCTGCCGCCCGCCTGGCGGCGAAGGCAGGCTTGAGCCTGCCTTGGCCGCCAGGCGGGCGGAGGAGGAGGAGGGGGAGGAGGAGGGGGAGGAGGAGGAGGAGGAGGAGGAGGAGGAGGAGGAGGAGAAGGAGGAAGAGGAGCAGGAGGAGGAGGAGGACCAGTGCAAACCCAAGACACGCCGGTGGAAACCCAAGACACCGACGATGTTGCAATCAACCTACCTCCGAGCACCCTCTCTATAGCTCCCTACAAGACATGTAGCTTCATTGCGGGAAATGCACCATTGGACGACAACCGTCCGAGAAACCCAATTCGCGCCCAAGTAGAATGCCTGGGACGTCAGCGCCGCGAATTCACGCGAGTGTTGCGTCGTGACAGCGTAATTTGTGCCAGAACACATTTGGGACTTCAGCACCGCGAATCAACTTAAGTATTGCGTCCTGGCAAACCGAAACCGTGCCAGAGCACCATTCCTGGGACTTCAACCATACGGACCTCTGAAGTTCCTAAGCATGTTCAAGACGAATGTGCGCGGCGCTGAGGCGAGAGCCACATTTTGGAAAGGTACCGCCCTCCATCCGTGAAGCTCTTACAGTAAACAAAGGTGCGCGGCGCTACGGCGAGAGCCACAGTTAGAAAAGGCCCCCCTGCATTCGCGAAACTGTCGCAACTTGAAAGAAAGAAAGTGCGCGGCACAAAGGCGAGAGCCACATTTTGAAACCCGCATTCCATCCGTGAACCGGCTACAAACTTCTCTGACGAACGCGCGCCGTACGACGGCGAGAGCCACATTTTGAAAACCACCCGCCCTCCATCCGTGAAGCTGTTGCAGACGGGCCAGACAAATGTGCAGCGCTACAGTCGGCCCGGATCAGTAGGTCGACCCTGCCAAATCAGGGGTACCTTTGTGTCCTGTGTCTCGCGACCCGTGCCTCCTGCAGTCCTATGGCAATGTGACCTTCGGAAGGGTCTTTGTGTCCTCTCGCGTGCCCTGTCCAATGAGGTTCGACTGCATAGGGCGAGGGCCGCATTCTGAAAACGGCCCGGCCTCCATCCGCGGACTGCTGCTGCCTGCAGATCTTTCAAGCGGGCGGCACGCCTGGCCCATGCACCCGACACGGCTGGGGGTGCGACAGGGAGGAGATATGAGGAGGAGAAGGAGGAGGCGGAGGAGGAGGAGGAGGAGGAGGAGGAGGAGGAGGGGAGGGGGAGGAGGAGGAGGAGGAGGAGGAGGAGGAGGAGAGGAGGAGGAGAGGAGGAGGAGCAGGGAGGAGGAGGGAGGAGGAGGAGGAGAGGAGGAGGAGGAGGAAGGAGGAGGGGGAGGAGGGAGAGGAGGAGGAGGAGGAGGAGGAGGAGGAAGGAGGAGGAGGAGGAGGAGGAGGAGGAGGAGGAGGAGGAGGAGGAGGAGGGGAGGGGGGAAGGAGGAGGAGGAGGAGGAGGAGAGGAGGAGGAGGAGGAGGAGGAGGAGGAGGAGGAGGAGGAGGAGGAGGAGGAGGAGGAGGAGGAGGAGGAGGAGAGGAGGAGGAGGAGGAGGAGGAGGAGGAGGAGGAGGAGGAGGAAGGAGGAGGAGGAGGAGGAGAGGAGGAGGAGGAGGGGGGGAGGGGGGAGAAGGAGGAGGAGGAGGAGGACCAGAGTAAGCCCAATGTTGACCAACAATGCCGCAATGTACACACGTCCCTACAATCCTTATGTTTCACTGCGCGACGCGCTTTCTTGAATGACGAGCGCCTCATGGGTTCGCAGTTTAGGCAGGGGACCTCTTGCGAAAAGGATCAGCATCCAATATTTCGAGTGGCAAGGAATGCGACAAGGTGGGGCCAAACAAGTCACTGAAGTGCCCAGCGACAAACCCTCTTTGAAAAAAAAAAAAAAAAAAAAAAAAAAAAAAAAAACGTCCGTGCCACCGTTGCCGGTAATAACATGTAAGGGCGTTGCAGGCGAGAGCCCCATTTTGAAGAGGAACCGCCGTCCGCCTGTGCCCTCAATTGCGAAGGCCTGACGGCTGGTTCCGCCGACCATGGAGGGTAGCACCAAAGACGGAAGAGGCCGGAGGGGGCCTCAGACGGGAGCGTGTATTGGCGGTTTGTTGGCCGTCTTCTTGGTGGTTTTTGGACAGCTCCGTCAGGCGATCTGGGATACTCTGGGGTGCGTCTGGGTGCTTGTGAGGGGCTTCGAGGGCCTGCTGGCGGTCTTGGGGGTCATATTGGGGTGAAAGCGCGGGGGCCTCTTCGAGTGTTCCCGTATGGGCCTGCGACCGATGCGGCAAGAATGCGAAGATCGCGCACCCCTTATGGAATGCAGCCGATTTTCGCGCTGTGAGCCGGCCACCAGGGCCTCCAATGCGGCCCGCGAGATTGGGAAGGGTGCCGAAGTTGGCCGAGGTTGGCCGCGAGAGGGCTTTGTCGAGCCTACCTGGCCCGCAGCTGGCGGAATTGGCCCGAAGTTTGCCCGAGTCACTGCTGGGAGAATGGGGGAGCGGGGGGGCGGGGAGCGCTTTCTGCCCCCGGATCTAGCCGAGATTGGCCGCGAGAAGGCTCTGTCGGGCCAAGGTGGTTGCACAAAGATGGCGAACTTTGCCCAGAAATGCCCGAGTCACTACAGGGAGAGGAAAGCCGGGAACGCATTCTCTCCCGGGACCCCCACACCCAGCCCCCCAGGACCCACCCCCCAGAACTTCCCCCAGGGCTCCCCCAGCGGGGAAGGGATCAAAGGGTTAGGGGCTTCCCTTAGACTCGACTACGAGCTGGCTGGGTCGGTTCATCTCGGGTTGGCGAGCTTGGAGAGCCGGAGTTGGCTGCTCGGAAGGAGGGGAGAGCTTCGAGTGAAAGAGCGCCTCCCATTTCAGGATGACCAGCCCAGAACTTCTCCTCACACATGGCGACAGCAGGGGCGGCGGATGTCACACCTCTGAGCCATGAAGTGCAAGGAAGCCCCAGGCGAGAGCCCCGTTTTGAAAAGCAGCTGCCCTCCGTATGTTGCGCAGACTGGAGGAGGCTTTGGGCGAGACCGCCTCTTGAAGAGGAGCCGACCCCGTCCGCGCCACTGCCGGACGTGTTTTGGACGACCCCTCGTCAAAATGGCCCGCCTTCCACCAGTGGAAGCGATGGAAACATTTTCAGACGAGGGCGCGTAGCGCCAAGGCGCGACCCCCCTTCTGAAAACGAGCCACTCTCCATCCGCTTAAAGAGAACTGTCGGACCTGGTTCAGACGAGTGTGCGCGGCGACACGGCGAGAGCACCACTGTCGAAACGGCCCGCCCTCCATCCGCTGAGCTGCTGGACTTGTTTTAAGACGAGTGTGCGCGGCGACATGGCGAGAGCACCATTTTCGAAACGGCCCGCCCTCCATTCCCTGAACTGTTTGATGTGTAAGACGAGTGTGCGCGGCGACACGGCGGGAGCCCCATTTGCAAAGCGATTCGCCCTACATTTGTATTACTTTTCGACGCTTTCAGCTGCCGGATCGCAAACGCTTGTGGAAATTCAGTCGGAACGTCTAGCCCGCCCTAACGACACGTGCTCTTCCGTTCCCTCTTCGTCTTCCTCCCCTCTTCCTCTTCGTCGTCGTCGCTCTTCTCCTCCTGGTCTCCACCCTCTTGACAGCCACAGCCGCAGGGGTGATGAGGTTCGGCTTCGGCCCTTGCCTCTCCCCCCTCGCCTTTCTCTCCCCCCAGCACCCTCATCCCCCCTTTCACTCTACCCCCCTCCTCCGTGAACCCCCTCCATCTTTTCCCCCCGGCGCAGGCGGCCACCGGCTGGTCTGGCTGCGGTGGGAAGCATTCCTTGGGGCGCGTGCTCTCGGCATACCCGCGCACCCTGCCTGTCACATGTGGGCCATCACTATCACTGTCATCAGCAGCAGCACCACCACCATCTTCTTCATCTTCATCTTGATCTTCGTCGTCGTCGTGGTCATCGTCATCGTCGTCTCCACCGTTCCCCACGCCATTCTCACTGTTCCCTCCTCCGCCCGTCGTGCCCCATGCCCCTCCGCTCTCCTCCACCGCGGCAGGGAGAAGCGCATCCAGCCGCCGCTCAACTTCAAGAAGGCGGCGGCGAAGCAGGATCGGACAGGAGGCAGACGGAGGCCACTGCGCGGTGGCCGGGGCACGCGGGGAGGGGCGGTTCGTCGATCGTTCTCTTCTGGCCCCCGTCCTCCCCCCCCTCCTCTCCGCATGCTTCTTCCCGCCATCTCCTCTCTGCCCTCTTCCCCCCCCCCCCCCCCGACTTCCCCCTCCTCCTGAATCCTCTCCTCTGGTTCCTGCCACACGCCCTTCCCTGCCTCTTCTTCTTTACCTCCCATCGCCTGCATCTCAGCAGTCGCAGGTTAGCCTCGTTATCCTCTGTAGCCTACTCGTTCTCCTCCTCCTCCTCCTCCTCCTTCTCCTGCTAGGACTTATCCGTCTCCTTTTCCTCTCCAGCCACTTTTGGTACAGGCCCTCTCACCGAGGTTTGGCTTCGATGGCCGACGATTGCGAACGTCGCC